GAGTCATTTAACAAATTTAGAAGTTGGAGCAAAAAGCAAGGAAAGACACATCTTTTGCAATTGTCCTCATTTTCTTCCTTTAATTATGTACCTAAAGTCTTTTTGTTGTTTTGTTCATTATGAGTATGTACAATTTACTGCGTTCAAAATGTGTCTTTACTGAGAGATTTGATTGCCATCAACACTGCTAATTTTTTCATCAGTTTTTGAAAGATTCTCTTTCTTTGCATAAAAATGTATGTGAGTTCTTTGAGTCTACTTCGTTGCCAATGCATTTTTGCGAAAATTGCATAAAGTAGCACTTTTTTTAACGCTTTCAGAAACAGACTATGCGTTCTGACAATCACTTATTACCCATAGCACAGTGGGAAGTAGCGCTACTATCGAACGAAAAGATCGATGGTTCGATTCCGCTCTTTATAAAAAGTGAAAATTTGGAGAAAGTTTAGTTTTTGCCGAGTCGAAAGGAAAAAAAGTAGATTTAAAAAAAAGTAAAAAAGTTATATTAAAGCTGGTGAAAACAACCTAATTATTCAAAAGTTTGGTAAACCTAAGTTAAAACTCTTCCAAAAAACGATGATTCTTTAAAAAAACTTTGATGAAATTTTTTCATAAAGCAGCACGAGCGATTTTTTTTTAAAAAAAAAAACAAAATGAAGAAGCCTCATTAGCAAACAAAAAAATAAAAAAATTGGAACTGCATATGAATCACTACGTTAACAAAACTGCTTAGATTACTAGTGCAAGTTCCAGACTGTTTTTTTGAGGTGAAGCCAAACAAAGAGGGAATCTGTTTCAAACCAGTTCGGATTAGATTGCTTGCTTCCTATTCTCTCCTAGTATTTTCATTATGTTTTCCTATCGTTTCAGTTACGCCGGGCCTTACATTCCTGAGCTTTATTTAGCATCCACTGTCATTTTGATGCTTGTACACACATGTTGACCCGAGCAGTAGCTTACTTTTTCGCGGGTACCATTCAATGGTGAACAAAGTTCGCTGAATGTCGCCAAGGCCAGTA